AAAAAAAAAAAAAAAAAAACCATTTCTAACATCCTCAATTCAAGGTTTTTATTTCACACGATTGTTCAATCAATCAATTCCTGAGTCAAGTTGATCGAATCCCTTTACCGAGTCTAATTTTCACATACCCAATAAAAACTGGCCCTAAGAGCTCACCGTCGAGACTCAAATTAGGATATACACAGATAAACATGGTAATCTGTTTTCCTATCCGACCATGTTAGGACGTAACTAAAAAAAGAAACCCTAACTAGAGAGACAACCACAGCAGCTAATCGAAACGAAATGTATTGGAAAACGAGAGCGAATAATCTGTAGACTTGCCGTATAATTGGCGCCGTAGAGGACATAGGAGCCTTGGATAGGGGGTGGCGGCGCCGGAGCGGAACTGGGGTACTGAGAGTACTCTTTGTAGAGCTTGTAGTACGGCGGTGGCGGCGGGTAAGTCGCCGTCGCCATTCGGCTTAGAAGATTTCACCAAAAATGAATGTTAAATCACTACGAACGTCTCCAAATATCGGCTAGGAGTTTCTGACGGATTTCAGCTGTAAGGATAGTGAAGGAATGTGGAGTTTCGCGTCGGCGACGGTGGTGAGAGTGCGAGTTTCTCTCTCGATGTCGCGTTAATAGCTTTCCGTTTTCTCTTTATTCCTTTATTTTTTATATTCGATATTCTCCAAAAAAAACTTCTTTTAATGTTGCGCTACATTTTCGCACTAGGGGTGGGCGCAGTATGAACGGTCCGGGATTTGACTTGTCCTGTATTTGTCCCACTCTTATGAACCGATTCGAGAACGATCCGAGACGCGACACCGTTTCAAATAGACCGGTATCATTAGGGATCGGGATAAACACATAAACTAAACTAAAAAGTATTGATTCAATTAAGGTTTAAAACAAACAACCAACATATGGTTCTATAATTTCGATTAAAACAAACACAGCGACTCAAGTTCACTTAAACTGAATTACCAAATAGTATTGATTTCATTATGACAAACATATCGATCTATTAAGTTTAAGTCACCAATCACCAACATCTAAGATCTGACGTAAACGTTGTCTTTGAAACCAAATTACCAAATGCATTGTTTGTTTATTTTTAATTTTTTTTGTGCCAAATTTTAGTTTTAATTTGCACAATTGAGTTTTTGTTTATTATATTACAAAGTTAAAATGTTGTTGAAGTTTGAATACCAAAATGAGCTATTATTAGAGCAACTACATTGGTTCCTTAAAAAGGGTGTTTAAACGGTCCCCCCAGAGTTGATACTGATGTGGTTCATCTGTTTAATGAGGGGGCCCACCACTTCGTTCACTACACTTGAACGCTACTTTCTCATTTTTTTTTATTAATTTTTTATTGTGAAGTGCAGCGCCTGCTTTTTTTTATAATATTTTTTAAATAATTATTTATTAACTATTTTTCTTTTTGTTTTTATATTTTATTTATTTTTTTATTTATTTTTTCTTTGTAATTGTACTATTTTTTTCTTGTGTAATCCTAATTTATGTTATTTTGGTCTTGTAGTGTTTTTTTTATTTTCATGTATTTATAATTTATTGTTATAATTAAAAAGTATTAAATTTTATTTTTATTGTGGATAGAATATAAAAACTTATATTGAATGAGTGGATAATGGGTCCCACGTATGTATTTATTATGAGTGTGAGTGTGTGTTTAAATGGAGAGAGATTTGGATGAAAGGTGATGTAGATGAGAGAGAGTGTAACTTTTTGATTGAATGAATGAAAGTTTTGTTAAACCAATACGAATGCCCTTAATGCATGTAATTGGTACTATAATACTAATATAAAATATAATAATAATATATAAAATATATATACACATATAATATTTATTGTACGAAAAAAATAAAATGGGACAAACAATACAATTCGTGATGACAATATTCAAAACTGATACCGACATTGTTTAAAATGGTTTGATACAGGAACGGGACATAAAGAAAGAATTTTTTTGGGAATCTTATTATTCGGAACGTGACCATTTCGGTACGGAAAATTTGACTTTTTTGTCCACCCCTATTTCGACTACTATGAAAATATGAACATT